GACCCATTTTGAAAACAAAGTCCGGTGTGCAGTCCTCATCAAAACGACCTGAAGCACTTCTCCAACCTGCGAGGCTCCCCTCATCCCCAAAATCATCATATCCATCACAGCACTTTGCTGTCTTCCACTCAGCTCTTCACAGCTCCAGAAGGAAGTTGCAGACAGAGTTTTGCTTCGCATTTCCAACTTCAGAAGCCAGGTTTGGGGAGAGCGCAAGGGCAAGGGGAGGAGTGTGATGGGGGGAAAAGGTGCACAAAAATACTCTCCCCGCCCCCCCAGCTCAACTGAGCTTGAGATTTCTTGGAGTGCGGAAGGCCTCATTCGGCTATCGCTCCCTCTTCAGGCAAAACTTTGGGTTACCTGTAAGTAAGCTGGAGTGCAGGCCAGGCAGCAAAACACCAACTCCTGCAAACTGAGACACGGACAGGGAGAAGGGAGGGAAAAAGGCTGCAGTTTAGGGCCTGTCTCTAATATCTACAGACAAACCTCTCCAAGACTTTATTCTTCCTGAAAATGATCAAGCAAGATAGCACTGATCAGTAGCCAAAGTCCTAAAGGTAGGAGATCCTCAGAGTCTGTCGGCCATGGCCTACAGGCTTAGTCCCAGAAGTATTCTTTCTGCTCTGTCATTAGGATGGAGCCTGATCTTTTCCTTCAATCCCAAGAATTGCACTGAATTAGATCATCTTTCTCTGATCACCTCCCCCTACAGGCTGCTCCTGAGCATGCTCAGCTCGGCCTTCTACTGCCATTTCATAACTGCATTGTTTACAGACACACAGTGACCTGCCATTTTTTGACAGTAAAATAGAAGCTACTATCTGCAACACTAGTGCCTCTCACAGCCAGAGTTAATTCGCAGCCCTGCTCAGACCAAGTCTCTCATTACAACCAGGATGCAGTCAAGTTCATGCCTTGCAATAAAAATCCGATTTGAAGAAAAGAATGATAAAAAAACCTCTGGAAACGAGCAAATTCTGACACGGTGGGGTTTTGTTTTAGGTCAAAAACCACCTGCTCCACAAATTCAATCTAGCAGGAACAAGCTAACCCTTTTGGGGGGCAGTGGAGGGAAAACAGAGAGCAGGGACTTCAAAGGAAAATGTCAACCAGGATTTTAGCTTCTTCAAATCACAACCGTGCTTCCATGTCACCTCAAAAATCTAATATTCAGCCCACCGTGCCATCCTCTGTCAAGCTGCTCCCTCGGAAAAAGAGAGCTTGGGAAGATGGTATTTCCCTTGAATAAACAACTTGGCGTAGTCCCAGCACATACAGTTTTTCCTTTAAATGCAAACCAGAGTATTTTCACAGGCACACAGGAAAACGAGAGGAGAAGGAGGGAGAAAAGTTCCCCATTTAACACCAAGAGCTCCATGAAAAGCCAGGCAAGGTTGCTAGAGTCCTTCTGCATTTCAGCTCTCTCCCTCCTTTTACGCCTCACATCATACTTCACAGGTGAAAGCAGCTTTACATTATAGAGAAGAACAAACGCCACAAAACCCATCAGTTTCCTCACCCTTGGAACAAGGACAATTTGTTCAAAACTTCCCTTGCGCAAGGCAGACTATTGCTCAGCCCCACAGTATGGCAGCATTTGCCCGTTAGACGCTCTGAACCCACGCTGCCTCCCCCCATCTTCTAACACTCTTCTTCTTTCTGATGGATTTTGAAGGGAAAACTAATTGCCTTGGATATGAGGAGAGGGAATGAGTTTCCTAAACAGCTGTTATTATGGCTCCCAGAGCATCAGAAAAAAACATCTTGCTAGCAACTTTTTTTTTTTTTTTTTTTTTTTTTTTTTTACACATTCCTGTTAGCGTGTACAGTATGTGCCTCACTCCTGCTGCTTTACTGACTACTCTAAGTTCTGACGTGCATTGCCATACGCTGAGCCTACCTTCCCATTCCCCCCACCCTCTCCACACACCAGCCCCACTTCCACATAGCCATCAGAGGCAAATGAACCAGCTTGGTACTCCATAAAAGTACTAAAACAAGAAATCAAGTTCAAATAAAAAGCATGAAGGGAAGGAGGGGGTGGGGGGGAGCTGAATTCATACCAGAATGACGGAAACAGGACATAAAGGGAAGATCACGTTACAGCTTCCAGGTTCTTCTCTACTGAGGGAAGTTGATTTCCAAACCCTAAAAACTTTCAGTAATAAAAAAAAAAAAAAAAAGCTCTGAAAAAGGTAGCAAGGGTGACATGTGAGATTTGTCCCTAAATGGCTGATGGTAGACTGCACAGGAAGAACACTAGCTTCTTCAAGCCTACTGCAGCAGTTTGCATATGATTTTCAGTGCTTCAAGTATTTAGCCCTTAAGTGAAAGGCAAGGTTATTCTGTCATTCCAGTTTGACAGAAGTCTCCAAATTGATTGTTTGACCCTTCCAAGTATCAGGAGCAGAAACGGGAGGAAAGAAGTGTA